TATATATATATATATATATATATATATATATGTGTGTGTATATATATATATGTATATATATAGGCGTTTTAAACCCTTCCCACACTCTTGCAATTTTCTAAACTCAACCCTCTTAAAGAGCACAGAATGTCATGATTGCAGCTCTGCCTTGGCTGCTCTTTGCCACCTGCAAGCGCTCTTGGCCACGCCCACTTCTCCAATCTGTGCAGAAATCAGCTGATCAGCTGCAGGAGGAAGCTTATCCTGCAGTAAGGGCTGCACAAATGTGCAGCAGCTGCTAAATAATTTTAAACAATTTATTTTAAATAAAAAAAACTTCCATGCCGAGCGTGCAGTTCATCCATCAATCAGCCGATAGTGTGTCATGTTATTTGGAGGGGTTTTGCTGCATTTTATTTATTAACCTTTATTTAACCAGGCAAATCCTATTGAGTACGCAAAATTAGAATTTAATATAAAAAACGTCAAAATTAAAAGCGGCAAATCCATGAAGTATACAATCCTGATTAAAACTGAATTTTAGCATTTAATTTTAATAGTTTAAATTGAGTATTTATATATATATTTGCTATTTATAGAGTTTAGTTTTTATTTGCCTGTTGCTACTTGTGTATCATCAACACAGAAATCTTTACACAGTCAATTTGACTATCCTGATTTTGTGAAATTAGTTTTGATATTTGGACTGGTTTGTTGTTCCTACTGGCTGAGTGATCCCAGCTCCATTTGTTTTATTTGTTTGTTTGTTTGTATTTTTCTCACACCATCTTCTCATTGTCGTGCCCTACTTTTCTCTTTCAGCTTGTAAAACCTTACTAAACAAAAAGTCGGACGGTGTGAAGGTAAGTTCTCTGATTTATTAAAGGTAAATTGATTATTTTCCTTCAGTTTTCTGTTCTTGTCTTTTGTTGTTTTTCTTTTGTTTCTCCAAAACCCTTTTTATTTGTGACGTTATGAGCATGTAAAAAAAAATGGTATTTGGTTTATTTTTCTCCTTGTGCTCCATTTTTACTCCTTCTGGACTCTGTAAAATTTCTTTTAAAATGCTTTTGTGGCTTTAGATATAAACCTGTAGTAGAAGATAGGTTTCTAACTGAAGGTTACACAGATCGTAAATTAAACTAACATAATAAATCCCTGTAAAAGTATTTATTTTGAGTAGGAGTCAAAGTCAGTGCATGTAGTGAAGTGCCATGATCAGCAGGGGCCAAAACAACAATTCCATAAGTGACTTAGTAATAATTAGACTCCTGCCCACTTCAACCCTGAACTATTTTACTACAGTCTTGTCTTTAAAATATTACCTCCCTGTATACTTTTTTCAGCTGACTCTCGTTTTCCTCTGCAGTTTTAGTTTTTCTTCGTTTCAGCTTTGCTCTTGTTCAGGCTCGTGCATTTTTTTTTTAAATTCTTTCTGGGATCAACCTGGCAGCTTTTTGTTTTTGCTGTTCTGATTAGCTTCTTGTTTTCAGATGACTCCTTATTTTTCCCCTCCTCCTCCTCCTCCTCTCCATTGCTATCTGTCAGAAAAGGAAGTCCAGCTCAAGTGTGTGTTTGATGGTGAGATCGGCTCTGTCGTTTTTATTTATTTTTTAAAGTTTTCTCCTGATTGGTTTTATTTTTTTTGCTTGCTTTTTTTTCCTTTTTCGTAAAGTATGTTTAGTAGTTGTTGTTTTTTTCTTCTCCAGCCAGCATTCTTGCGTCCCCCTCCACCATGATCTCCATTAAAACCATGTTAGTGGCTGATGAATAACAAACATCGGTCTTGTTTGCTCTGTTTTCTGACTAAAGTGACTATTAACAACATCAAATCTTCTCATTTCATCCACGACCACTCCTGAAGTGAAGCACATTCTGCTTTCATGTTTTTTTTCCTAATTAATGCATCATCTGTGCCATCATTTGTTCTTTTTTATTGTCTCCTGTGAAAAAACATCTTGGTCATCTGAATGTGTCGTCAAACCTGTGTGGAAACAGGGTTTGTTGTGCTCAGTCAGTCACACATGTCCTCACTTCTAAATTACTCTTAAGAAAATTGACTGAATATTGATGTTCAAGGTCAAATACACCAGCTGTTTTAAAGTTTTAACATTTAAAACCTTCATTTGTCATTCAGAACTGTAGTGAAGCAGCTGAAAGTCCTGAGTGATTTACTGTGAACTTTTTTATTGACGTAATCTGTCAATCCTCTCCTCCTGGTTTCCTGTGGGAATATTTTCATTCTCCATTTTCATCCAGTTAGCTGGAGGCTGAAGGGAGAGCACAGCTCAGCGTGTTGTCTTTGTCATGCCTAACAGCCCAGCTGTAGTTTGCAGCTTTAACCCAGTCTAACATATAAACAGCAGAACTCTGGCTTTAAGGTTTCAGGTTTCTCATGAGTAAAAAGCAATTAAAACTGTTATCAGATGACTTAACCCCCTAACAACTTTATGTTAAAGATTCTGTATCGAGCACAGCCAAGTTAGTGTAACACTGAATTCATTTGTTCAAGTACAGTAGTCCCTCGCTACTTCGCGGTTCGACTTTCGCGGACTCGCTCTTTCGCGGTTTTTCAAAGTAAGAGTGGACATGACACACAATTGGCTGATTGATGGATCAGCCACACGAGCGGCATGGATTGTTTATTTAAAATAAATTATTTTAAATGATTTAGCACCTGCTGCACCTGTGTGCAGCCCACAGGTGCAAGAAGAAGCTCCCTCTGCAGCCTGTCATGATCTCCTCTCTCTGCCACGCACACATTTCTCCTGCAGCAGCTTTGTGAAGGATGCACCGATCGACTTTTGTCTTCCAACTTAAAAGTCAAAGAATTTCACTTCGTAAAATCATCATAATAATAAAATATAAAAGTGTTAAAAGTTATTTTTAACTATTTTAGAACCTCTATGTTCAGTTGTTGAAGTGTAATTGATCAAGAAGTACATTTCTCCGTGCTGCAGAGCTGTGTGAAGCCCTTTGCTGTCCTGCTGCGCTTCTCTTCTCTACAATTTAAATTTAAGATTTAAGATTGGAAATGAGACACAATTGGCTGAATGATGGATGATCCGAACAATCGGCATGGAATTTTTTATTTTAAATACATTATTTTAAATTATTTAGCACCTATTGCACATTTGTGCAGCCCACACTGCAGGATAAGCTTCCTCGTGCAACTGATCAGCTGATCTCCATGTAGAGGGGAGAAGTGGGCGTGGCCAAGAACGCTTGCAGGTGGCAAAGGACACAGGAGGCAGAGAGCTGAAATCATGACATTCTGTGCTCTTTTAGAGCATTTGGATTCTAGAAACATAGTTTAGAATATTGCAAGAGTGTGGGAAGGGTTTAAAATGCCTTTAAATATTTATATATATATATATATATATATATATATATATATATATATATATATATATATATACATACACATGTATACTAAAATAAACTACTACTTTAGGTCTGTTGCGATAAACAATAAATCAATTAATCGCATGATAAATGACAATTATCAACCTCATTTTCATTTCTTGGCTTTATCGTTTTTTCGTGTCTCTCTCTTTCTACTGAAGACACTGGATGACAAAAGGCTCAATTCCGGTGCTCTTCACTGACCCCTCCCTTTCTCTTTAAAATCCATTTTAACCGTCCAAAATCGTGTTTTTTAATCATTAAAAGCAGCTAAGCTGAGAAGCTAAGCTACGAGCTAAGCTAACAGGCCTACCTCGGGGACTAAAACCTCTGTGTTATCGACGCTCCATAATTCACGGTTGAAACCCGTGCCTTCGTGTAACAAGTTGTTTTTCTCTGCAAAAAGAAGCTGAGAACTTGTTTACTGATTTTTTAAATTAAAAGCTTTGTGTGAAAAATGTTATGCTAAAGAGCTCAAACCACACCGCATCTGCCATTTTGCAAACCGTAAACAAGGAAGGAGAGACAGCCCATGTTACATCAAGGGGCCTCCCTCCCATTTTTCTTAAAGAGACACGCTGCTTGCTCCCTCACTATCCATCCATTAGTTCAAACAGTCTTATACTGCCATCCGGTGTTCAGAAAAGGTACTACAATCAGAAGAAATTAACCATTTCTTCTTCAATTTGACAATAATTACTAATTATTGTCAAATTTCAAACAATATTATCGTTTATCGCAATAATTTCTGAGACAATTAATCGCCCAGAAAAAATTGTTATCATGACAAGCCTACTTACTACTTGTACTACTATTCTTACTTCGCAGTTTTTCACTTATCGCGGGGCTTCAGGGCACGGATCCCCCACGATAAGCAAGAGGCTACTGTACTGATAATCACAGACGAGTTACATTATACATCAACTTGATTATATTTAGACATAATAGCTGCCATTTCAAATATTTAAGGCATCTTGTTGCAGAAAACCAATATTCACATATATTTTTTACTCTTCTATACTTTTCTCCAGTTTATTGCCGCTTTGAGTCATGCAAACTAACAGCATAGGGAAAACTTATTTTGACCACAAAATGAATCTGTACCTGTTTTCCTGTTGTGAATCTCGTTTTGAGACTTTTTTCGAGGGAGTCACTGTGTTGTGCTTCTTTGCCCCGGTCGCAGGGAAACGACAGTAAAAACAGTGTAGTCAGCAGCAGCAGCACCAAAGACAGCAGCATGTCATCGTCAGCACCAATGGTACCACATCTGTTTGCTTTCAATCTCATTGCTTTTTGTGGCGTCATTTCACAGTTTCCATTTTTTCAGTTCTCTCACTTCCTCATACTTTTGTTCCATCCTCATGTTAAACGAAAAACTACTTTGTCTGGTTCATCATCATCCTCCTCTGCTTCTGTTCTGTAAACAATGTGTGATGTTGGCGGGGATTTTGACAGCTTTAAAATTGAGCAACTGTTTGGTGATCCGTCGAGTCTCTTGGATCGAGTTTTACCCAGATCTCCTGCAAACACACAATTCTGAATTGTGGCAGATAGACAAATTACTTTCACTTTGTGGTGAAACAGCAGCCACTTCACTCAAGTTCTGCTCAGCTTCACCACGACGACAACCTTCCATGTTCAGATGTCAACAGAGTGTTGACAATTTAGTCTTTTAAAGCAGGAAAGGTTATTGCAATATTGTGAAAAAAGACTGGAGAACTTTGGATTCATCAAAACTTTGCCTTTTACAAGTTCCCTATGAGGACATCTGGGTACAACAAGAAACTTGAGAAGAAAACCAACAGAATGTAATGGTATGGGAGGATGCAGCCCCTGAGTTCATAAACAAGTGCTTCTAAAAAAAATTAGAACATTGTGTACAATTCAATTTTTTTGTTGATCATTTCAGAAAGTGAAACTCATAGATACATTATACATAGAGTGACATATTTCAAGTCATTATTTATTTTAATTTTGATGATAATGTCTCAAAGAGTCCATTAGGCATGCTATTGGCTGACTACATGTACACATGGCAAGACGTGATTGGTCGACACAGCAGCAACTAGCTGAACAGCATAGCTCAAACGTTTCCTCTGCTGTATAAAACCTACTTTTTATACAATTTTTCCTGAAAAAATAAAAAAACTACAGTAGTCCCTTGCTACTTCGCGGTTCGTTTTTCGCAGACTCTATCACGGTTTTTCAAAGTAAGATTGGACATGACACACAATTGGCTGAGTGATGGATGAGCCGCAAGATCGGCATGGATTTTTTAATTTAAAACAAATTATTTTGAATTATTTAGCACCTGCTGCACCTTTGTGCAGCACACACTGCAGAAAAAACTTCCTCCTGCAGCTGATCAGCTGTTCTCCACACAGAGCAGAGAAATGGGCGTGGCTGAGAGCGCTTGCAGGTGGCAGAGAGCTGAAATTATGACATACTGTGCTCTTTTAGAGCGTTTAGAGTTTAGAAACATTGTTTAGAGTATTGCAAGAGTGTGAAAAGGGTTTAAAATGCCTTCATATTAATATATATATATTTTTTTTTGTATATATATATATATATATATATATATATATATATATATACAAAAAAATAAATCACTACTTATTACTTGTACTACTATTCCTACTTTGCAATTTTCACTTATCGCGGGGCTTCAGGGTACGGATCCCCCGCGATAAACGAGGGACTACTGTACCCCCCACACATACAAACAGACTAACTTCTTTTAAAAATTATGATGATGATGATATATCAGTGAGATTGGATGTGCTGCTAAAAACCCACCGCACTTCAAGTTGTGTAATTTTTTTGTCAATGAAGGGGCTGCATGTTCTTGTTTGGGTCCAGTTCTAACTGAGATCAGGAGTGTGTGACTAAATTGTGGTTTTGTTTCCCAATCTTAGCAGTACTTGGTGCTGTTGAACCGCTTTACGTTGGATGCTTCTGTGGCAGGGTCATAACTGAGGATGAGGCGTGGTTACACAAACACACAGTTTGCACAATAAAACACTAACCAGGGCTAATCAACTGGCGGTCCGCGAGCCACTTCTGGCCTGCGGGTGACTTCAGTCAGGTCCACTAATGAGTTCATTAAAATTTTTTAGGCTGATTGGTAACTCTAAATTGTCCCTAGGTGTGAGTAAGAGAGTGAATGGTTATTTGTCTCGTTTGTCTCTATGTGTCCCTGTGATGGACTTGCGACCCATTCAGGGTGTACCCTGCCCCTCGCACAGTGATTGCTGGACATGGGCACCGGTGACCCCCGTGACCCAAAATGGAAGAAGCGGGTAAAAGATAATGAATGGATGGAGATATATATGTGTATATATATATATATATATATATATACATACATATACATACATATATATATACATACATATATATATACATACATATATATATATACACATA